TATTGACGTATATAACTACATGAGTACGACACTTTCGGACATAATGTATTTTGAATTACACAGATTTGTGAGGAAATGCCTACATCTTAGGAGCCATTATTGCATTTCAAGCTGCATCTTCAAAAACAAAGGACACAAAAGTTGGTCAATGTGGGGGACATTATGCAGAAGGTTGGATGCTACCTGGGGAGCGTATGATGACTTAAAATCCTCGTGTGAGACTGTGAGATCGAAGGGACGTCAGCGCATTTTTGTGTGGCAGATCAGTATTCTATTAGCCAGTGTTGACTCCACCATCTATAAGATCTTGTCCAAGGCTACCATATTCTCTTTGTCGATACCCGTAAATCGCTTTTGAAGTGTTGACTCCACCATCAGTAAGATCTTATCGGAGGCAACCCATTCCTTTTGTCGTTACCCGCTTCCGACGTGCCGTTCACCCGCAATTCGTATTTGAAGATTTGATCCCACCATCAGTAAGATTTTGTCGGGGGCAACAACATTCCCTTTGTCGAGACCCACTTCCAACGTCCCGTTCATCCGCAATTCGCATTTTAGTATATTTCGCTAAAAACCCTTCACAAAATAGTACTCAATTTTTGGGGCAAATTTGAAACCGCCTGACAATATTCGCAGTGCAAGATACCTCTTGGGACTTGGGCGCCCGAAGTCGACTACCCCTCAAAGACGCGCACCTAGCAAAAGGTGGTTAATTTCGTCCCTAAAAAATAGTATATTAAGATACAAGTGCATAATCAAGTCTTTAAAGCACGCGCAACGAGTTTAAGGGCACGACGCAAAGCGGAGTGCCTTTAACGTTGCAAGTGCTTTAAAGACCAATTATACACGTGTATCTTATAGTATTTTTTTATTATACCTGCAGTATAATTTAAAAATAGGAAATTCAATGAAATCATATTGACGTTATACTCGAATACATGTCTAATTAAGTGGGCTGGGTGTTCGTAATTTCACAATTACCATGGAAATGTCACTTGACGTTTGCTTATAAAAATTGTCGTCTTTGTGAATAAAACGATTTCCGTTGAAAAAGATAATACACCGTCCATTAAATCGCTTGTTATAAAATCTAAACAAACGTTGGTAGGTGTAAAATCTCAATCCAGTAAAGCCTATTATCAAGCATATGAAAAGTTGTCTCCATGGATGAATAGGAAGTTACTTACGAATAAAGTCTTAAATGCATCGATAATGCTGGCATATATGAAGGAAATGTCAAAGGTATTTAAATCTTCTATCTTTTGGTGCATTCATTCAAAACTTCACTTATTGCTGGGACTAAAAAGTGGAACAGATTTGGAAGCATACCCTAAATTACGCGCGTTTGTAAAAGCTTCAACCAAAGGATAGGTACAAGCCAAAGAAATGTTTGCATTTACAGAAAGCGACTTAGGAAGATTTTTTATTTCACCCAGATGACAGTTTCAAAAGTCATACTTGAAGTATCGTTACTTAGCAACTTTAAAGCACGTGTGTTTTAAAGGACCTTTTTCGCACGCATTTGAGTGTTTAAAACGGAGATTGTGATTCAGGTATAATAAAAAAACAATATTCCGCCAAGCAGGGGTTGTGGGCGTTTACAAGATCTTTCCGACGACACCAATTTGAAAACAATTGGACCAAAACTGAAGACGAAGATAGGAAAGAACTGAAAAATGTCCAGGTTAGTACACCACCCTCGAGGATGACGCCCAGATGTTGTCGACTGATTAAAAGATACCTTTTTATTATACCTGAATCACAATCTCCGTTTTAAACACTCAAATGCGTGCGAAAAAGGTCCTTTAAAACACACGTGCTTTAAAGTTGCTAAGTAACGATACTTCAAGTATGACTTTTGAAACTGTCATCTGGATGAAATAAAAAATCCTCTTAGGTCGCTTTCTGTAAATGCAGAACATTTCTTTGGCTTTTGTAACTATCCTTTGGTTGAAGCTTTCACAAACGCGCGTAATTTAGGGTATGCTTCCAAATCTGTTCCACTTTTTTATCGCAGCATTGCTTTAAAGTTTTGAATGAATGCACCAAAATATAGAAGATTTAAATACCTTTGACATTTCCTTCATATATGCCAGCATTATGGATGCACTTAAGACTGTATTCGTAAGTAACTTCCTATTCATCCATGGAAACAACTTTTCATATTCTTTATAATAGGCTTTACTGGAGTTGGATTTTACACCTACCAACGTTTGTTTAGATTTTACAACAATCGATTTAATGGGCGGTGTATTATCTTTTTCAACGGAAATCGTTTTATTCACAAACACGATGATTTTTATAAGCAAACGTCAAGTGACATTTCCATGGCAATTGTGAAATTACGAACACCCAGCCCACTTAATTAGACACGTATTCGAGTGTAACGTCAATATGATTTCATTGTATTTACTATTTTTAAATTATACTGCAGGTATAATAAAAAATACTATAAGTGCCCTTAAACTCGTTGCGCGTGCTTTAAAGACTTGATTATACACTTGTATCTTAATATACTATTTTACAAATAAATTTGCAAAAATGCGCTATAAAAGATAAAGAAAATGTTGATCATCACACCGTTGTGGAACTCCACCCTCTATATAATTTATACTATTTGATTCTATTTACTTGAAAGATCCTTGTAACTTTTAAAAAGATAGCTCCATCTATTGTTGAAATTTTAACCACGCAATTTTACCGCGCAGTGCGATCGATTTTCACTTTCTGTCGAGAACCGTATCAGGTTACCCTTCATTAATAACCAACAGCTGATACTTTAGTTGAGAACGCATGGAATTTTATTTGCCATCATCCATATTTTATTAATCTCTGGCAATTGGATTTATTAATTTGGGGATTCCAGAAATATTGTTATGACGGATTCACCTAAAAACTCCAATAGGGAGGATCTAATTGCGGTTTTGTTGCCTTATCGTAAGTACCGTCATTTGCATGTTTCGTAATTGAAGTGTACTTTTTCCTGAGGTTCGGCTGCCATCTGTTATACGACGATAGTTGTTACTTCATCTATATAAATTAGCCCTCTTATTTAAGAGATATGTACATTTTATGATATCAACGAAGAGTTTTAATCTTAGTTCAAATTCAAATTTAATTCAACTGTAAGGACCAGCTTAAGTTTCAGAGACGCTTTACCTACATTTCTGTTCACCTACGAATGTGTAGGTAACCTTGGGTTAAATTCACCGTTATCTGCGGGTGCTAACACCTTTGGCATACATTCCACCTGTTGATAACGAATTGGGTCACCGGGTCATGAACGAAATTTGATATCGGGATTCGATCCTCAACAAAAAGACAACTTTCGTAACTCTTGAGCGTATTAGCATTGAATAAAAACCACATTATTCAATGGTATTAGTTAATAACTATTTTGTCCCTCTGAGTTAAATGCTATCACATTCAAGTAATTTGTTAACATTAGTACCTATTTAATATCTTTACCATCTCGATTAAGCTATGATTTAGTTCAAAACGTGAATGTTGTTGTAGTCCACCATTTCCTTCTAGAGGACCAGTTACACCTGTTACAGCAGCAGATTACGAGTAGAGCCAGGCCCCTCAAACATTAGTTAATTAATTATATATCGAGCCCTACGGCTTGGGAGGTTTTGTTTTGATTACTTGCAGGTTTTGGAGATTGCGGTTTTATTAAACTGGGGATTTTAAATTGTACATTGAAGTTACTATAAGATTTTTGTGTAACGTGTTATAATTTTGAATATTTTCATGGTACGCTATCCCATTGTAGATATTTATTTTTTGCCATTTGTTTGAATAAACCAGTATTTCTTTTGGTACCTAAATTAAGTTAGAAATATTGAGTGGCGCTCTACCATTGGTAAGTGTAACGAAAGACGAACATCAAATGCCCAGAACGAACTACCGCTGTCGCAGATCTGAAGCTTTTCTTTTCTTGTTTAACCCTGAGCTATGTTGGCCGTTTAAGCGACGGGTTTGAGAAAACTCAGCGTTTATATTGATTTTCAGGATTGTTATAGCTCTGATTGTTATGTAAGCAAATGAATTATCGGGGAAAACTGTATTCTGGTTTTAAGTCGGAAATCGTTAACTTTCTAATGGTAAAAACAATATATTGTTTTGTTATGAAAAATGATATATTAATATGCATGTTTTTCTTCATTAAAATACTGTGCATACAATTACTTAGGCACGTTAAATCTACAGCTGTTTCAAATCGTGCATCTTATGTTGGGTGTACTACAATTGTAAGTGTGCGGACACTTATTTAATTATATGGTCCCAATCCTTACCGTTTTTAACGATCGGGACGTGGCCGTTTAATGTGCGGTAACCTAATACTATTAAGATTATAGATATAACGTATGCGCAACATTCTTTGTATCATACCAATCCAGAGCCGATCGCAAAGTAGAGTAATCCACTTTTACGAACTGTGGGCGTCTCATTTCAAACCTTCTTTCGCTTCCGCACCCTACCCTTTTAACAGTGGAGCGTTTCAGGATTTCGTTATATCTACACTTCGAAACTAGTATCCTATAAGTGTTTTTAACACTAAAACTATGGATCGTATCATTTGGCAATCAGGTAACTGGAAAATGGTACAATTTTCGTAAATGCGTATTATGTTTGTAATCTTGTTCGAAATTTGGTAGTTGTCCAGAAATGTAATTTTTAGCAATTATATTTGAGATACGATAAAACCTGTTACTAGCAGAGCATTACAAATGACTAAAGTGTACCTATTTTTTTCTAATTTTGTCTCTTATTAATGGTAATTTTATAAATAATAAATAAATATACTGTATTAAATATTTAAATTGATATGGTTTAATTAAAATATAATCACAAATAGCGTTTTTATTACGTACATAGGTAATGTAAAAAGAAGACACTAAACCTCGAGCTAAACCTGTTTATTTTGCTCTTTAGCTTTCTTCCATAAAAAGTATATTCAATAAAATCAGCATTGTTGTTGAGCACGCCGTACAACTGCTCAATGATTATGTTAAAGTTACGAAACGGGATAGTTAAGAAATTTATCCTGGCAATGGCACTGTACATCTATACCTATAGTATAGTGCGTGGCACGTCAATGGTAACCTCGTACAAAGATGATACCTTGTATAATTAGAACGAGACGAACGTACGCACACTAATCAAATAGAGGTCAGTGAGTACTCATCATTTTGTATGAATATATGCCCTTCACAAGATGATAACCACTATTAAAAGTTTCGTTCTGCTCTTAGTAAGTAAACAAAATATGTAATCCATTTATTTTTCTTTTACATAAATTCCAATATATCCTTGCACTTGCTAAATTGTGATTTGACGATTGGGAACAACGAAAGTTCGTCGAGTTCATTTTACTGATGAACGATAAATCATTTAAGTAGTACAAATAAGGTAGTTGGTACTAAATACTGACTGATAAAGATGACACAACTTTACTGTGCATTATTGTAACCTACCGTAAAGATTAAAATTTAAGCTATACCTGCCATAATATACTTACCTTATCAGCTCCTTTGTTATAAGACACTCTCCAAGTAACTATAAAGAGATTTGTCAAATTTTCAAAACAAGTTGTAAATCAGCCTATGCATGAAGAAAGCTCATTTTTGGTAATGCGGATCAGTATTTTATTAGCAAAGTTTAAAATTATCGACCTCAAGAGTAATCTAATTACTTAAACAAATCCCTGCCTTTAATTTCGCAAAAACCTTCAGCTGAATTAGTCTTTACGACGCGATAACGAATTCCTTATCACAAGATCGGAGATAAACTTTTCAAATAACACAACGAAATTATTTGCAGATTTCCCTAAATTTGTAACGTAATGAACAATACAGCAAACAAAAGACAAGGTGATTATTTAAACAAAATTAAACATCCAACAGCAATAAACATCTACGCAGTAGGTGCCACTAAAAAAATCAGATTCCGCCTTCATCTACAGCCCTTTGTAATAATAGCAACAAAAATAATGTTAATTTTTTGGGGCACTTTTCATACCTTGAGACACGACAAAGAGAGACCGTAATTCGATTGGGCGCTCGCAGTCGACTATCCTTCGAAGACGCGCGCCTCGCAAAAAAGTGGTTAATTTCGCCCCTACGAAAAAAAATAACATTCCGTCACGCAGGAGCTGTACGCGTTTACAAGATCTTTACGAGGACGCCAATTTGAAAACAATCGAAACCAAAACTGTAGAAAACAGGAAGAACTGACAAATCACCACATTAGTATAACACCGCTCGTGGGGATAGCGCCCAGATATCTCCGACCCTACATTATGTAGCCGCGACCTAAAGTTGTTAATTACACGACTCCGGTAGGTACATATTATACAATCCTCGTCTTTCTATAAGAGTTCTTCTACGAGCCCACATTTGCTGCCAGCCAGCCAACCAGCTAGCCGGCCAAAATACGATTCAAAACTATCTTTTTGCAAATAAATTTGCAAAAATGCGCTACAAAGCTTATTTTTTTTTATTCATTTTATCTACTACCTATATCTAGTAAAACCGAAATAACAATATGGCGATATCCAAATATACACAGCGCAACATCTTTTATCTTGTGATTTCAAGATCAGTTGAAGTTAACTGACCGCATGCAAAATGTTTGTTGCAGTCAACGATGCTCTCGAATTACAAATGAGTTGCCCTCTGTGCAATTTTAATTAAAGCACGTGATTGCGTTTGGCGAACTCTGTGACTTGAAAATACAAAAATCTTCACGCGTCGCGATTTTGCCATCTGTCTACGAGAGAAGATAATTCCTATTCATGGTTCTGTAGCAATTTTAATTACAGATTGCATTGTATGTCCTCATCAATGCAAATGTATCCTTTTGTGATTTGATTGAAGGGTATCCTTGAATATTAAACCAGTTCACCAAACTGTGTTAACTTTTTAGAACTAATTATTAAAACGTTATGGGTCTTTGTGTACAAACATTTAAATGGCAAAAGTGCGGCCAAGGGCTAATGATCGGGTTTGATTCTCCATATTGTCAAATGTAACCAGAATAAATCAAGTTCGTTTAGCATTTGGGCAAGTAAATTACACATTGCAACAAGCATGTTTCTTTTGTTTTCGCTTTTCCAGTAAATATATTAAATGTTCGTAGACTAGCGGCTATCAAGGTCCTGAAAAAATCATCTGCTTTGATTTTTATTTATCAAAAAATGTTTGAGAAAAGAATCTCAGGCTTTATCACAACTTAATTACTTATTATGTTGGTTTATCGGCCGATCTCTTATATTACAGAAAAAGTCCAAGTTAAATCCGACTTTCATTTTGGTTGTCAAATTATTTGAACTTAATATCAAATTTTGCGTGAAGTAGGCAATAAGTCTGCACTATGATTCAAAGAAGTACGCGATGCACGGCGTGAAAAATGCTGGAAGCTTCGGATTGAATTAGATCGGGAAAAGATGAAAAAGGTTTTGATCGAAAGGTTTCTGGAAGAAGGTCCCACAAATATTGATTGACGTGTAAAACCAGCACCGGCTTTACATTTCAATTATCTTTTCTTCCTATTTGGACATGTTCCTGAAGTAGGCAGAACAAGTATGAGCTCAAATGTTTTATTATTTACAGCTTTTCAACGGTACCGTTTGCGATTTTTGAGTTCCAATATTAGCCCACTCCGCGTCAACTGGACAAGTATGAGCTCAAAAATTGTCAATCGATCAATATTTATGAACTTTTTTGAGCATTTTAACGGCACCATTCTCAATTTTAGAAGTTCACTAGTTAGCCCACAAACCAATTTTGTAAAAATGCACTGCTAACTTCACTTTAACTTTAAAGATCTATTGCTGCAGCGCTATTACCGTTTACCAGTTACCGAAGTCCCATGAATAAATGTTGAAGGAAACTCAGTTTAAACCATTGCTTCAGAGTTTAATCAGCTGACCCAGTTTAATTTTTAAGTTTGGGGCAATTTATTACCTAGGAGTCAAATTCAGTCCAATGGAAACAATAAGAAATAATTAGTTCATGTCTGATGTCAAACACAATGTATACATAGACCATAGAGATAGCTTTTCTCCAACTCCACACAAATTACACATTAATGAATATGGATATTGACACATTAGGGATCTTCAGATCGTAGACGCGCTCTATCTTTTCTTATAAGCAAATGGTAGGGTTTACCAAGTAAAGCTGGTTTAAGCAATGAAATGGAAAGTTTGTTTACGTCAGTCTCCTAGATATGGCACTTGTCAAGCAACCGAGTATTATTTTCAGCAGTTTCATTTATTTCATAATCTGTGCATTTGAACTGAGGTCACTAATTCAAACTGGGTCATTGGATTAAATTGCCTACTGGGTCACTGGGTCAAATTGAGTCACCGGGTAAAATTGGGCCATTGAGTCAATCTGACTCGCTGGGTGAAATTGGGTCACTGGGTGAAATTGGGTCACTGGGTCAATTTGAGGAACTGAAGAGGGTGTGAACTGACCTAGTCTTAATAGCTGTCATTAAATGCTCATTGCATAATATACTATTTTAAATGAGAAGAAAAATTAACCCGATCGTTATAGGTGGCCGTGAGCGCGTCGTTCTTTTGACATTTTAGACGTCTGTCCGTTGGAATTGCTAGCGTATAAAAAGTACTCGTTGCTATTGGCATCGACAAAGTAAATTGTTATTTGTTGGCCGAGGAATGCAGTTTAAAGTGATGTAGGTACTGTTTATGTGTCGCGTTTGTATGCATTTCTTTTATAGCAGCAACGAACCGTTTTGAAAATTTGTATATGTTTACGGGTTCCTTATAGACTAACAAAGAACGCTCATTGAAAATTTGATTTTCATGACTCGATTACGCTCGGATCCAATTGTTTTTAGTAAATGATCTTTTATTAAATAAATGCTTACAGATTCAGATGCAGCTTTGTGCACCTTGTTAATTATTTGCAGGTGATGTTTGCTCTTTGTGGATTTGTGAAATAACCACAAGAACTCAAAATTGATGTACTGAAGTTCAAAAATCGAGAATGGTGCCGCCGAAAAGCTCAAGAAAGCTCTTAAATACTGATTGATTTACAAGTGTTGTGCTTACTTGTCAAATTGACGTGAAGTTAGTAAGTCATTTCGAAATTTGATATGTAAAATTACCATGAGAGCTCAACAATTGAAAAAGGTGCCGTTGAAAAGCTCATAAATACTGATGGAATTATAATTGCGCACTTATCAAGTTGCCGAGAAGTTTAGCATTTTTTCATCAATTGATTTGTGAACTGACTATTCAAACTCAAAAATTGCAAACGTTGAAAGCGATCAAAAAATCTCAAAATAATAAAATATTGAACAATGTTTGAGCTCATACTTGTTCTGCCCATTTCAGGGACTTTTGAATTGGGGTCATGATTTTTCTCCATGGATCCCAGGTCTCACATTAGGTGTAAATCCACGCCTGAACTAACTGCTATCAGTTTCCGTCTCAGAATTGTAATTTACTGGGGAAGAATTAATTTTCTTATTAGTACAAGAAAAGAAATAATCTGATGTAACCCGAAAGAATCTGTTTACTTATTTTTGAATTTTCCATGATGATTGTACACAATATCGTTAAGATTTGTTTTTAGATGGTAATGATATAAGGAAGTATGATTACCATAACAATAAACAATGAATCAGCCTAGGATGTGAAAATGTAGATATGCATAACGCATAAACTTACTGAAATCACGTGAACTAGGCATGATACCCTTTTTATAAATTACACAAACTAATTTCTTTATCAGTAAAGCCGATTAATTTATTCATTTTGGGATACTCGATTTAGCCCAAACCAATTATGATGGAATACATTGGTGTAATTTTAATCAACACGATACGGGGGGTAATAAATTTCGCGAGGATTAATAATTATCATGATCACGAACAGACTGAATGACCAACAAACCAGACAGTATCATAGCAACAATTGAGTGGACCACCAGGATCGTTAAAAAATCGCTTATTAAAGAAATAAACAATAATTTGTAATTGACGATTAAGCAAAAGGGGACATGAAAAATTCTGTAGCAGGTAAACAGCATCGATTGATTATAAATTATAATCAGAGATGGAAACGAATTTGAGTGAGTAAATTTGGAATGTGAACAAAACAAAACTGCTAAATACATCACGCCTCCATTTTTAATTAT